TGCCTAGTACGTAGGTATTCCTGCTCGTTCGAGAGTTGTAGTTAGTACGCTAGTACATAGGTATTCATGCTTGCTCGCTGAGAGCTGTAGTTAGTACGCTAGTACGCTAGTACGTAGGTATTCATGCTTGCTCGAGAGGTTTACTTAGTACGCTAGTACGCTAGTATGTAGGTATTCCTGCTCGCTCGAGAGGTTCAGTTAGTACGCTAGTACTTAGGTATTTATAATTGCTGAAGAGCCGTAGTTAGTACACTAGTACACTAGTACGTAGGTATTCCTGCTCGTTCGAGAGTTGTAGGTAGTACGCTAGTACGTAGGTATTCATGCTTACTCGAGAGGTTTACTTAGTACGCTAGTACGTAGGTATTCCTGCTTGCTCGAGAGGTTTAGTTAGTACGCTAGTACGTAGGTATTTATGCTTGCTCAAGAGCTGTAGTTAGTACGCTAGTACGTAGGTATTCCTGCTCGCTTGAGAGGTTTAGTTAGTACGCTAATACGTAGGTATTTATGCTTGCTCAAGAGCTGTATTACTACTCAAGAGCTAGTACGCTAGTACGTAGGTATTCCTGCTCGTTCGAGAGTTGTAGTTAGTACGCTAGTACGTAGGTATTCATGCTTGCTCGCTCGAGAGCTGTAGTAAGTACGCTAGTACATAGGTATTCCTGCTCGTTCGAGAGTTGCAGTTAGTACGCTTGTACGTAGGTATTCATGCTTGCTCGCGAGAGGTTCAGTACTGTTAGTAATGTAGTACTGATGAAAGCTGTTAGTACGGTAGTACTGATGAATAAGCAAAAATCTACAGAAAAGCATTCCTATAATGGGCAGCATATGATTCAAAAGCCCTGTCTATAGATATACTGTACTGATATCCCTCAATTATTGAAGCACAGTGATGTAGATTACCAGTGTAGCTTTCACTATAATTAAGCTGGTAATGTTTCTCAGATGAAACAATCATTGACAGTGATTCTGTTTGCATTAAATACATCTGCCCTGTACATTGTGACAATGTTGAATACAATTGATTACCCTCTCCAAAATTTGTACCAGGTCACTACAGGTATGTATTCCTTTTATCTCATTATAAATCAAAGCAATCAAACTCATAACAACACATTGTTTTCCAGCATTTTCACCAAAGTACATAATATCACCTTGACTATATGGTGCCTTGATTGTTAGAGTACAATCACCATTGAATCGTCTTCGCACATGGTACTCGGTCACCGTTGTTAATATTACAATGATTAACGTACATCGCATAACAAGACCCGAATTCTTTTGTAAAATTATGTTATTTCTTTTGCAACATCATTCTTTTGTACACACAATACTGATTTGTAACACTTTTATTGTATACATGGTGCTACTTTGTCCAATACATCATCATATCCAACACCACGTTATTTGGTGCCAAACAGACGTTCCTGCGCAACAATATGCAAATATAATATACGCACAAAAGCGACAAAACTAGTGGAACAAATAGAAAAAATATCAGGTGGTAATGGTAATGGTAATGGTTTATTAGATATGGATTCGGCACTAAAATGAAATACTTCATATTTACAAGAAATTACAAAAAATATTTACAAATTAAATGAGACTATATAAATAAAAAATTTTGCCGGGGGACTGGGTTACCAGCTCACAAGATTCTATTTACAAATTATTACAAATGTGATATAAGTGTATTGCAATAATTCGTTAAGCTTTGACGTCATTGCAGGGAAAAAACTTATTTGAAATCGTTTTGTCCTGCATTTAAAAAGAGTCAAGTTATTGCTGGAGCGCAGCTGGCAGCCGTGTGCGGTCTAGTCTTTTCTGTGGAATTAATGATGACAACTGTGAGTTTTTAATTTTCTTGAACTGTTCGAGGCAAAGACGTTCCCTATTTTCTTCCAGTGTGGGGTAATTCAAAACACTACATGCAGTTTTGTAAGAAATTAGTGGTTCGATTATCCTGAAAGCTCTTCTTTGTATCTGTTCTAAATTGTCCACAAGGTAAGATGGAAGACTAGAATGCCATACTGGGCATGCGTACTCCAAAACAAAATGTATTAGAGCAGTATAGACACTAAGTAAATCCTTGGGTGGAAGGCCATTGTGGCGCAGGGCACGAAGGATATAAAGGATATAATGTACTCTGTTTGAGCAAAAACAACAAATGTAAGCTTAACAATCACAATAAAGGTCACAGATCTAACAATTGCATTTATCCTCACTCTGATGAAAGTCCAACATGGCATCTTTGTCTTCATTTCCCAGAGTTTTATCACGAGGCACCTTGGTTTTATCAGGAATTGTTCTTCTGTCACTCTGTCCACATTTAACTCATTTGATTTCTGGTTTGATTCTACTAAGACCTTCAATCATCTGATTCTTTTGCTATTTTGAGTTTGCGGAACGACCCCTTTCGAAATATATGCTCATTACACATGCCATCTTTTAGAGTGGGTCTACCGTGAATGGTGTGTGGGTCTGTATGTTTGAGCGTAGAAAAGATGACAACATTCGCTAAGATATTCGATATATCCGCCATGTTCGACATGGTGGAAAGAAGGTTGCGCCTTTATTTCTTGTCTGCGGTATTCCCCATTGCATGTGACTGAACATTGCGATCACAACACTTATTTGCCAACTTGGTACATTTACTCCCTTGCCAATTAAATTATCGTCATAACTGTCAAGAGGGAGAGAATGTTGATTGCTTAGCCGAGAAACATCTCTCATTTGAATTTTGCTGAAGTATTTGTATTAAAACCTTCTATATTGTAAATAATCACTTGAAATTTAGTCACAGTACTACTTGCTGCAGAGTTGAAGGTTAGACTTGAATGCTGCACATAATAAAAATGAAATTAAGTTTATCTCAATGAAATCAGTTCTGCTAGATCACTGCTTGTTTGAGGTTTAGGCATGTCTGGGAGTTATGTATTGGTGAGAGAGAAAAAGAGAAAGACAGGAGATACATTTGTTTGTTTGATAACTAGACAAAGTATTACTAGACAAAGTATTAATAAACTTTTCATGCTTTTCTTTTCTGTCAATTATTTTTTATGGCTACTGCCTCCTCTAGAGGCAAAGCCATAATCTTTTCCTTTTGAGTGAGTGAGGGAGTGTAGCAATAGAATATGAAGGCCTCTAGAAGCCTAGTTTTGTCATTGTTGGAGCCTTGGGGAACAGTGAGGTTCTTGAGCTAGCCCCAATGAATTATCATTCCTATTATGATTATGATTATGATTATTATTATTAATAGTAATAGTAGTAGTAGTAGTAGTATCAATTAGTCATATTCTTGAATCATTTTCCTCTTGTGGATCAGGATACTCATGAATATCTAGGGTGTGGCAGCAGTACCCATAAAAAAAATTATGCAGTCTTAACTGCCTATTTTTTTTTAATCTGTTGGTGGCCAATATTTGTGACTTTTGTCGAAATTTTTAGTTGCCAAATATATTTTTCACTTGCCATGGCGACCAAAGTGATAGTAGCTCAACGTGCTGCTTAATTTTTTTTCTGTTGTGAATTCTAAGGAAAAGTGAACAAAACTTGGGATTTCACTTTCACTTGCACAGTCATGTAGTTTACAAAGAGGAGATGTGATCAGTGAGCCTTTTCTTGTCAATAGTTTGTTATATAAGGGCTACCAGTAGTTACTCTGAGCCTCTTTTCAACATGAGCCATAAGAATAGGAACAAACTGAACCTTCAATTTAGCGACCACTGCTCTACCATGCATCTGCTGAAAGATCTTGTAGTTGAATTGCAATAATTTTCTTTTAAAATCAGTGTCTTGACTTCTTCTGGCTGTCAGTGTCTCGACTTGCTCTAGTTGATTGAGGGGGTAGGTGTGGTTAATGTATGATGTTCATTTTGATACATAGCAGATAATCTGTATAACTCTTGTCATTTACTCAATATTTTTCTGCATACAAACAAACCAGACAACAGTTTGTGCCTAATAACACATAATGGCCATCCAGGAGTGAGGATAATCTTTTTTTAATGATTGTTATTCTTGGAAATTTGTTCAGTACAGCCTTGAATTGTGGATTATCATAGAAGGATAAAAATACATAATGATTATTGTAACTTATGAAATGAATTAAGTTACTTGGTTCTTTAAAAAGTCAATTTTTTTTTCATAACCTGTGTTAGCATGGTGTACATGTATCTCAATGTTTTTCCAAAAATATATTTTAAATTATCACTCTTGTAAATCTACATTACATCTTTGTTTCTAGGGTTGCGATCAAAAATGGGAGCAGGTTTTAATAGAATAAATGATTTGACAATCATCCAAGCTACTCAAGTAAGTTAAAGCAGTTTTGCCTTAATTGAAATACATATTTTTCAAGGGTTTGGAAAGCAGCAGGCATTTATAATTTTGAGAAAATAGACAAAATACTTTATTTCTATAGATATGTTTCAACAACTCCTCTGTCATCTGTTTGAATTTAGTCCTAGTGCAAATACAAAGTTGATTTCTTAATGTTAATTTAAAATGAGAAACCAAAAGAAAAATCATGTAATAAAACCCAGACTTTACTACAATGTACAGCTTTCACTTAGACTACCCCCTCTTCTTTTCCATCATCATGGGAAAGAATGAATCCCAATCCTGAACAGAATTCATAAAATGCCTGGTAAATCTCCACCCTTGCCCCCTCTCCCCCTTACCAGTAATTCATTGAAATCCTGGAAAAAGTTTGAACTGCTGCATTTGGTTTTAACCTATTGACCTCCAGTGCGCCCGCCTGCGCCCATGTGGACCCACACCCTTTCTACACCTTGTGACGTCATCACTTTTAACCCTGGAGCACAACTTTGAGCAGGTACTTGAACAGGTTGAAAATATCTTACAAACTATACCAGAATGAGCCCAATTGAGTGAAGGAGATTGGAGAAATAGCCAAAAAACCATGTAACTTTGACCTGAAAATCTGCACGAAAATCTTGTTCCATTACCCACCTACCTTTCTGAGTACGTGGTTTGAAAATAATGAGTAGTTTCCTAAAAAATCTCTACACCAAAATGAAGCCTACTAAATTTCCAGCAAGTGAGGAGAAACTTCAGGCAAGGAGAGCGAAAAAAAGGGCAGGAGAAAGAGAGAAAAGTAAAAGTCGTAAGTGGGGCATTACTTTTCAACCCAAAAAGTATCTCAAATTTTGCTTTCTGCGCCTGCCCAAGATTTTCAGGCTGCCATTTTGCACTTGGATCGAAAGACCATTGAGTGTACAAGCTGTCAATGGGTTTTTGGTAAGTTTGAGCTTTTAAAACCACAACACTGACCCAAAATCTGCTCGACTAGCTTCAAAACACAGTTTTTCACAAAAGCTGCGGCCATTAATGGGTTAAGTAAATTTAATAGGCTTGCTTTAGACCCTCAATATTAAGTTGTCCTCATTCTCATTCAAGTATGATAACTGAAAAACTGTTGAGTTTAAAGAGCAGTTTTCTGTACATTAACATGTACATTTTGTCTTTGCATTTTGTACTTATAGGGTCTTTGTAGGTATTTGGAAAAGCAATTTCCAGACATCAAAGAAAGGGGAGTCATTGTTGGATTTGATGCACGGCATAACAGTACACGGTAAGAGGTTCAATTTCAATGGTCTGCTCTGGTAATTTTTGTTTGTTTGTTTGTTTGTGTGTTTATTTGTTTTATACTAAATTAAATATTTTTTATGATGCAGTCTTTTTTTTAAGTTCTGCGTACAAGTGATTATGGGGACTCCAAAATGCAACTTGGTCACTCACTTCCTAAAATGTCAGCACTGTGATAATTAGTCAGTACAGACTCACCCAAGTGTGAAACCATATTGGAGTAATAACTACACATAAAATGATTGGGTACTAGGCTTTGTTACAGTTTATACAAGCATCATCGCTATAAATGTCACCCCTTTAAGTGAACACAAATTTATCAAGTTCAGGCACAAATCTAATACTGTGAATCACTTTGATTGTTTACGATCTGATGTAAAACAATAATCATTATTAAATTCAATTATTTAAAGTAAACTTTGATGACTGGGCCAATCGGAAGGAGACGAAAATAATCCTGTGCTCCTCAGACAAAAGAAAACTTGTGGTCACATGATAAATTGTGGTCAGAGATTTTGTTCCAAGACCAAAAACTTACAGGTTTGCAAGCAGGAGAAAACCCTGTAAACAAAGATCATTGCATCACAATTTAAATATATATTGAGCAACTGTGAGGCAAAAATAATGTGACATAGAAATGGGAAATAGTTCAATTTTGCTGGTGCAGGAGAAGAAATATTTGAATGGCAGCATCTGAATTTGAAAAATTTTCCTAACAGGGATTGGATTAGCCCAGGATACTCTTTTGTGCTGTTTTTGTAGACTACATGTGCATCCATTATTCTGCAGAGTTGAATGGTTACCATAATTGTGGATCTCTCCATAATTTCTGGAAGCTTGGCTTTGAGATAAGAGCAACCTTGCATTGCTGCAAGACCACTAACTTCAAGTGTACAACCATGTTTCTAGATTAAAAAGTTTATGCAGGAGTTAGCCATAGGTATTCTTTAATTCTGTTTTAGCAAGATTGAATTGAATCAATGTAATACAATGATTTGGTATCCATCTCATTTTAGCCTTGCCCAAAGGACAAGCTGTGTGTTTGCCAGTCAAGGAGTCCCAGTTTATCTTTTTTCAAGTATAACACCCACTCCATTTGTCGTGAGTACTTTAAAATGAATACTGTGGTTATATGAACATTTTTGTGATCAGTTTTATGTTCATTTGTCCAAATTGTTTTAAGTTAGAAACTTAAGTTTAAAAAAATGCTAACCCTAACGTGTACTCTGTATTTTATTTTATTTATAGGAAGTAAATTTAATATAGTCTGTAAAAGCAATAATTTAAAAGTAAATGAATACAGATAGATAGAATATTTATTATTTTGGTGAAGTGTCTTGATTGTGGAAAAGTGAATATTAAATCTTTTCTTAATTAGAATGTTTGATTGAGGTACCTGAACAATGCATTTTTTAAGCTTGATCTTTTTACTTTTACAAAGTGTATAATTGGCAATTAACAAAATGTCCAGGGGGTATTCTGTTTGCTGCTAGTGGTGCATGAACATGAACTTTCTTTCCTTCTCTTGACTTTTCCTTTGGCCAAGAAACTCTGAAGGCCTCAGTTTTTGTCAGTGGGTGTTAACTCTGTTATGTACCTGTATGATCAGTGCTTGTAATCATTGGTTTACCCTAAACTAAGACAATCACTTACAATTATGCATGCCTTCTTTAACAGATTGTTTTCTTTCATTTTGTTGTGCAGCCATATGGAGTTTTGAAATACAAATGTGTTTGTGGAGTTATGATAACAGCTTCACACAATCCCAAAGATGATAATGGTTACAAGGTATGAAGTTTATGCAACTAATACCCTCTGATGATTTCAGTTCTCAGCATTGTCTACTATCACTTCAACATACATACAAGACACTACACAACAATTAATTTGCAATCCACACACACGCATGCATATAGGATTAAATCCATTAGGATGGATTTGAGTAGCCAGTGAGATGCATGATGGTAAATTGGCTTCAATCAATCTTTTTAGCATAATGCCAATTGAGGCAATTTTTTCAGTTTTTGTAGTGAAAATCTTCTTCAGATACAATGAATATATGAAGTTCATATATTTTTGAACTGCGATATTAGATACGTATGATGCACGATCCTCGCAGTAGATAGCACTATTTATGCAATAGCGAAAATCAGACCTGAAAAAAATATGGCCTGTACGGGATTCAAACCACTGACCTCTGCAATACTAGTGCAGCGCTCTACCAATTGAGCTAACAAGCCAACTGGGAGCAGGCCATTAAGTTGATTCGTAATAAACCTGTGAAAGTGATAAATGAGATACAATGAATATATGAAGTTCAAATATTTTGAACTGCGGTATTAGATACGTATGATTGTTCATAGTTTTAAGCAAAGACAAATTCGAGGAGTAAAAAAAAATTCACCAAACTCGTTTAACCAGTGTTTTTATTTACAATAAAATACAGTGCCTTCATTAAAATGCAGCGCCGAGAGCATGCGTTGACCGTTCAACACGAAGGCGCGCTATATAAGGAAGTCTTCGCTGGGAAGACCGTGGCTCATTTGTATTGTTTACTTCCACCAGCATGGTGGCATGAGGTAACGTGCGAACCACCTACTTCGATCTCAAATTTACCGCCACAAATAAAGACAGCTTCCATTGGAGAAAGGAAACACAAATCTCAAAAATTCTTGTATTGTGATGAAGACATAAAACAATTTTGAGGAATGCGCCCGCTGTTCACTGCTTTGGAGTAGCTGTAGCCCAAGCTGACTTGACTCTAAGAGTTCTACATCACACGACGGTTGATTGACAAATGGTCCAGTGGGACCTAAGACTCCTTTTATAGCGCGCCTTCGTGTTTAAGTGCAACCTATATTTTACAGCTCATAACCAAGCAATGGTATTGGAATCCTCACACATTTCTGCTAAAGAAGGGGTGGCGAATGGTCCTTCAAAATATCTGGGTCTCGCAAAATTTTAGTCGAATTTTGTAGGTCTCGCAGTCTCGTTTTTTCAGCGGTTATGTGTGTCTCACAGTCTCGTTTTTTATATGAAGGTGTCTCGGAGTCTCCATTTTTTGCAAGGTTAAGGGTCTCGAAGTCCCGATTTGTTTGTTCGTGTTTTTAAATGACATCTTCTCGTCACTTGATATTGAATTTCATTAAAGCAACTTTCAATTTGCGAGAAAAAGTCAATCCTAACTTCTCCTAAATTCTCTGAATTCAAAAAAAAGCTAGAAAACCTACCGCAATGTCATTTGGCGCCAGAAAAAGACAGTTATTTTGTTTTAGGATATCATAACTTAGTGTTATAGTTGAAATTCCAGTTCCAGCTAGTGCACAGAAGCTGGCTAAAATGGGGAATCATGAAACCCACACACTGACCCACAATAGCTTATGATAAAACCCAGGAAGTCAGAGAACTTATCTCTTGCCCCCTGTGGAACTGTGTAAAAGGACTAGCATTCCCAGGGAAACAAACAAGTTACTATACTACTCACCTTACAGTGCCTCGTACATCAACAATTGAATAAAATATTTCATCACTCATCACGTAATTTGTTCCATGGTCATATGCAACCCTTATAATAAGTTTTAATTGTTCTCTGTTCTCAATTCGGCGAGTTCTGAGACTGAATGTTAACGTCTTCTAACTAAACAGCTATAGTGCTATCTATAGCTAGCTATAAGCTTATGTCTAGTATTATATAATCTGCAGACCATTCAGCTATAGTGCTAGCTATAGCTAGCTATAAGCTTATGTCTATTAATATATAACCTGCAGACCATTCAACATTTTCTCCTTTTGCATCTTTTTATGCCACTTGAAGACTACTTGACTACGAGAAAATGTAACGCATATATTCTGTTACTTCAATCTTTTTTCTTGCCTTTTTGTCTTATGGTTTTGGGGAAGTTATTCTCGTTATCTATATCGCAGACGAAGAGAATGCCCTCTAGATGTATGGCCAACAGACACTGGTTCCTTTTTGTGGATTTTTTTCTTTGCTTTTGGACCTCTCTTTTTTCTTTGATTTCGTTATCTTCCCTTCGCCTCTAATTTTCCCTCTGTCTTCTTATAAAAACATGAAATTAAATTGAAATAAGAAAATACTGTGCTTAATAGACCCTTAATCAAATACTTAGTTTGAATTAGCTTTTTTTTCCAGAAAAATTAATCTTTTGAATATTAACTTTCATTTGCTGTATACGTAGCGGGTGGTTTTGATTTCCCCGCTTTCGACGCAATCGCCGGAAAGCGATCGAGTATAATTATGATAGTTTTAATATTTCGACCTATTTTGCCAATTTTTGCCACTTGGGCAAACAAACCCAGGTAAAACCACGATCAGTGCAACCTGCGGCCTAGATCTTTCATAACTAGCTATAATAGGTTACAGTAATAGGACTGCGGGACTTGACTGGCCAAGCGTGGTGTGGTTGTTTTCGCAAGGCTGGAATTGAAGTCTTACTGGTAGACTAACAGCGAATTGTCGGCACATTCATAAATACCATCATTTATAGAGTACTTACATGATTTGTGCTTTCGCTTCCGATCAGAAGAAGAAGACCTTATGGCCATTTGGGTTTCCTCCATTGTTTTGAACACTTCCACCTCAATTGAGTTCAAACACGGCCGCACATTCTTTCTGATGACTTCCAGACAACTTGAGTTGTAAGTGACAGCACATTAGTCAAAAAAATCAAAGGGAAACAACCAAGCGCTAATTTCCTGACTGGAAATTATGTCATGGCCAGGAAAAAAATAGAATTTATTGACTTTTGACAGATTTTCAGATCTGATGTTTCGCACAGGTGTTTACAACAAAAGGATCCTTTGTAAGACTTTTGTACAAGCTCACTCTAGTTCATTCTCATAGCTCTCAACCAAATCTGGGGCTCGCAATTTAAGAGTCTGAACGTCTCGTGCTCGTACTCAAAACCTTTTGAAGTCTCAGTCTCGCAATCTAAAAAGTCAAAATGTCTCAGGCTCGCAAAGAAAAACACTAGTCTCGCAAAGTCTCGCATTTACCATTTGCCACTCCTAAAAGAGAGAGCTGCCAATTATCGTAGTGTTGTTGTGTCACTTTTCCAGCCTCTGGAATGGGTTGCACAGTGAGCTTTAATATTCAACAGAGCTCCTACAAATTAATTAGACCAAAATGAAACCTGGAGATGAAGCTTCATGCTTTTACTGCAAGTTTCTGATCATTTTGTGACGTTTTTTTCAAGAATACTCAAGGCACTACACATGGATTCCTTTTATATGAAGAGAGAATTGAAACTGTGATCTAGCACTAACTAATTTGTTTTCATTTTACATGTGATTATAAAGGCTAGATCTCAATAAAAAGCTAATGCAAGTTTGAGTGAGATGCTTGAAAAGTAGGGGCTACTGACTAAGCCCAAGAATGCAACCTTGCACAGCTGAACAGTCCTCAGGTGTCAAATTGTAATCTCAATTAGATATAAGCAAGAAGATTTTGTTGTCATTCTTCATGTAATTGCAACACTTGGGTGATCTCAGAAAATTGTTTAGTTTTCAAGGTGCACAATTAACTGGAAATGTCATTAATTTTTACAATATTAAGACCGCGTCCTCATGCATGTCCTGCCTCGGCCAAATAAACCGCATTAAGCATGCTTTAGATAAAAGTACACTCCTGTTGAGTATTAACTCTTTAGTTTTTAGGAAATAATTATTTTATTGTTCTAATGTATGGGCAAATACATTGAATTGTAATATTAACAAACTGCAGGCTGTGCAAAACTTTGCATGCCCCATTGTGAGCGGAGGGCGTAAGTACGATCATATTACACCCATTCATAAAGTGCTTAACTGGCTATCTGTTGCAAACTAGCTATATTATTGAAGTACTACAATGGCCTTTAAATGTATGACGGGCCATGCCCCGAAATGTACATGCCCTCAACATTTTTAAAGCAAGCAGAGGCAAGCGGTCATAATACAAGAAACTCACAATTGTTGAATATTCCACTTTTTAAAACCGCCAGCGGCCAAAGAACTTTTTATTATAGAATAGTTAACTTATGGAATTCTTTGGATCACTCTCTTAAATTGTGCCATTCAGCCACTGTCTTCAAAAATCACCTGAAAACCAAACTACTCAAAGAAATGCAATTTTCTATTTATATATTTTTATAATTTTTAGAACCTTCTTAGTATATGTTATGAGACTTGGGATCGTATTTTAGTCATTGCTATTCTTATTTGTGATTAGTAACTCTTGTATATTGTCTTTGAAAAGCCTCCTTTGGAGAAAGTCAATAAAGTATGTATGTACTATGTAATAAGAATGACTCTCACGAACCTCAGTCTGCTCTGATTTCAGCAAACGAGTTGTTGGAAACTGTAATAAATATTTCTGCAGGTCATCAGCCATCTGAAGCATTGGCAAGCATTGACATGTATAACTGCTTGTTGACAGATTTACAGCTAATAGCCAATCATATTTTTGCATTGTGAGTGCAATGCATAATTCAAGCTCTTGGCCGTAGTCTTGAGTCCTTACTTTTGGAACACTCATGGAGCTCCTGCAGCACATGGCCATCACTCCAAGAATTCCTTGCAGTGCGCTAACATCATTTGTTTTCGCTGATTTTTTCTTTGACCTGTGCAACGGACTTAGCCAAAAAGGAGGGGTTACTCATAGTCTACTCTAATATGATAAAATGTTTTCTCCCAACTTGCTGCTGAATATAATGTGGTATTAGCCTCTCAAAATGGCAATTAGTTGATAAAATGATTATTAACAGTGTTTCCTAGTTAGCAATCTTCACCTTTTTATTTAAGGTTGCCCTTCATGGAACCTTAAAATTGATTTTTTTTTCCAGGTTTATTTGGATAATGGTGCTCAGGTATGATCTTTTACTGACAATAGCTTTCAGATCTACAGTACAATAATTAACAAATACTATCATATAAGTGTTGCAATGGATTTGTCAGTTTAAAAACTTCCAAATGATCACAAGTTCATACGTACTGTGAGAATTAGAACTGAAAAAAAGAGAAAATATTATTCTATGTCTGTTCTCTTTTTTTGTCATTTTTTCCATGTTCATCTAATTCATAGTACAGTTTATATTATGTGAAATGGTGACATGTTAATGTTACTGTTTCACATTTCACATCTTCAAGCTTTTCCCAAAACACAGTTAAAAGGAAGACACAATCAATGACCAAACTAATACAGAAATCTGCATAGAAATATAGGAGACCACTTGGTTATTTCTTAATTACCTGCAAAAAGAAGAGATGTTTTTTCCAAGCTTGAAATATAAGATGCTTTCACAGTGACTGCACTGTATACCTAAACCTTCATTTGTTCTTATTCTCATTTGTTTTTGGGTATAAATGTTTACTTTTTCAAAGTTAATGTTAATTGGTAATTGTTTTTATAAGTTGCAGACATCTGTACATTTGTGGCTGATGGTACTAGTCAAGAAGGAACTGATCTTGTTCCTTTTTCCTTTTGATTTTCAGATCAAATCCCCTCATGACAAGGGCATTTCCCAGTGTATTGCTGAAAACAGAATTCCCTGGGAAAACTCATGGGAAATCAGTCAAGCCAATCCACTAATTAAAGACCCTTATGAGGAGATATGTGCATCATACTTCGAAGATATAAAAACGTATTGCCATTACAGGTAATTGTGACATTTTGTCCATCTCAAGTTTTGCACTGGATTACTTTTCCTGACATTCCTTTACTGAACAAGTGTTTCTTAAGTAGACTTAGATCTTAGATATTAGTAGTATGAGGTTTGTTGACTTGTATTGTCTTCTTTTATCCCAAAAATGACAAGTTTTGTTACAGTTATTAATTTTGAAAATTGTTAAATGACTGCTCGTATTGTGGTGTCAATACATTTTGCATTGCAGTTCATTACAAATTCCTTTGAAGAGTTCAAGTATATGTTTGAGAGTTGAAGATTTAGAGTATTGGGCTTCCATCATTTTCATTTCAATTCAGTGAAATATTTTTGAGGAAGAAACTATGGCATTTTCCGTTGTTGTATGGAAAGGGTGTCTGTGGGAGCTGTAGTTACCTGGCCTTGTTCTTCCAGTTCTTTTTTTCCTTTGTCTTTAATGTGTCTCTCAGTCTCATGAATTTGTAATCCATGAAAAGCCCTTTCCTATAATTGTCCCTTCCAAAAACAGTCAATGTTTCTTAGAATTCTTCTACGAGGTAACAGGTCTTATTTTCCAGTTGTGCTTCTTAGAGTACAAATAACGCAGGAGAGGAATACAAACATCATTTGATATTTGTACTCCAGAATTATCTGCGAAATTTGCCTATACTGAAATAACAATTTGGCATGTTGGATAATAAATCTCTTATTAGACATTTTGTTGTGTAGTATCGCTGAGTATTTTTACTCATTGTTTGTATTTTGACTCGCCCTACAGGCTCATCAAAATACAGCACAACTCATAAAAATACTGAGTGATACTACACAATAAAATGTCTAATAAGATATATATATATATATATAATTATAACTAACTGCAGACAGTACTGTTTCGGCCTTCTGGGCCTCATCAGTGCAGTGCTAATGCTAGGATGGGGGAGAACCGAGACGGTCACCCCAAACGACCCAACCTTTGTGGTATAATATATATGAGTCATTGCCGTTGCAATTGCGCATGCTCGCTGGTTTACTCTAGTTTGAGCACTCTGGCATGGCTTAGACGATACCACAAAGGTTGGGTCGTTTGGGGTGACCGTCTCGGTTCTCCCCCATCCTAGCATTAGCACTGCACTGATGAGGCCCAGAAGGCCGAAACAGTACTGTCTGCAGTTAGTTATATATATATATATATATTATTCTCTTTTCTTCATTCTTACTACAACAATTAACTCAGTCAGTGAAACATTCAGCTGCTCTGGGGGATATTCTTTTAATTCTCCTTTTCTTGCAACCTTGGGAAGAAATTTTTAGAACAATGATGAAGTCATACTGTACAGTATTTACAACCAGACAATCTACCAAAGTTTCAAATCTGAGTGATTTTCTGAGGTTTTCACCAAAATATCAAACATACAGTAACTGTTATAACACTCAGTAAATGAATGTGTTGAAGGCCTTACAAGGAAATAAACTGTGTAGTCTGGTCTTTTTGAAATGCAGTTACCAGTAGTTACCCATTTTGAGTCAACACATGCATTATTTTGTAAACAGGCATTCTACTATTTATTACATGTTCAAACATAATTTCACACTACATGTACTTGAGATTGCAAAAATAAAAATGCCTCTGTTTTTAAAATAAGAACCCATTACTTTTAACCTAATGTAACCTTTCAGGAATTTTTGGTCTTATGGAGGTGAAATTTAAAGTTTGTCTCTGTGGCTGCAAATGTTACATGCCTTACATCACATCAAGTAAAGAATAGGTGGGCATAAATAAAGTATGGTAGAATGAATCATGTCTATTATATGGTTGACCCTTTAGTGAAAAAAACAGAAAAACCAAGCTGAAATACACCTTCACGCCTATGCATGGTGTTGGACAGAGGTTTGCTGAGCTGGCATTTGAGGCATTCAACCTACCTCCTTTTGTATCTGTGAGAGAACAGGTAGATTCAGATTAGTAACCTAGTAACTGCTTTGTGATCAAAATGATTTAGAGAATCCCTATGTTGTTTACATCCATCACTGCAATTGTAGAACTCAATAGGGAATCAATTTTATCTTTCTCCATTTCTTGTACAATCAGTTTATGAAGATGCATCTTAATGCAAGTTTGAAAATTTGCAATTACTATTAAGATACCTTGAAACAGCTTAAATCTACCAATTGCATAATTATTAGCAAACTATTTAATGGACCACAAAACTTTGTATTTTTTCCTATAGATGAATCCAGATCCAGAATTTCCAACAGTGAGATATCCTAACCCTGAGGAAGGAAAGAGTGCCTTGGTGAGAAAAATGCTGAGCCTACCATTAATGAAAGTCTTTCGACTGTAAAGGGCAAAAGGTGGTGTTTGATTGCTCTGAATATAACCTGTCAGAAAAAGGGGAAAAACTACTTAATAGGAAATGGAGACTTGGAACATAAATACACACATGCCAGTTTAACACTATGATAAAATATACAATACTATAATAAAAAGTATAAGATTTATTTAGAAGCTTTTGCAATTTTGCATTTAGGACCTTGCAATGAGTACTGCTAATGAGAATGGCTGTTCTGTTATTTTGGCAAATGATCCTGACTCTGATAGAATGGCTCTTGCAGAGAAACAGCCAAAGTAAGTAACATATTCACGAGTAGACCCATCACCATTGATTCACACTAGTTGTGTACACTGAAACAAAAAGAGACAGTCACCAGTTTACAGTTGTTCCTGTCCCGTTACTGCTTTCCCTGTTTCACTTGTTTTTTATTGCTTCTTTTTATAGTGTACATTATTACTATTATCATTATTATTATTATTATTATTATTATTATTATTATTATTATCATTATTTTACTTTTTATTACTGTTTTTTTGCAGTAGAGCAAAAGGAATATTGTTAGACAAGCTGATTAGCTACAATTTATTCACATGTAATTATTATGTATTTACATTTCTGACCAAGGTTTTTTCTTTCTGTGTTTTAACTTTGAAGTGGTCATTGGAAGGTTTTTACTGGTAATGAGATTGGAAGTATGTTTGGGTGGTGGGCATTCACTTGCCACAAAAGGAAACATCCTGAGCTGTATCCAGGTATTAGCATTTAAAGTATGAAAATTATTATAGTAGTTGTGTTTTGTTTTTTACACATGTGATAAAATTACTTGCTTCATACTTAGGACTCTAACCTTCCAAAAGATGAATGCAGCTTAAGGAGTAAAGCTCACATTGGGTCCCACAAACAAAAATTAATTTCTTCCCAGACTCAATACTTAGCTGCTCGAGAAATTGCATTTCTTACCAATAAGTCTATTGAACCCTCCAAAAATCTCTGCCAATAACTGGCCAATAGTTGAACAAACAGCAAGATATTTGGCTCTCAGTCATGACAGATGGACCGAGTGCAGCCAACCCTCCAACTGAATTGATAAGTACATACTATAAACAAGCTGTAAAATAGTGACGGGAACTTTGCATACTCTAAGGTGGTTAATATAATTCCTTTGTTTGATGGAACAGGCTCATCTGTATATATGATTGCTAGCACAGTTTCTTCAAAAATGCTTCAAGCTATGGCTAGAGAAGAAGGATTTCTGTTTGAAGTAAGTTTGCATTGAAACTACTAGTGACGTAAAGTTGCAGTTACATTCATGTTTTGCACTTGGAATTTTCAAAGTTAGTCATGCATTAACTTGTGCAAAGATCTCGTATTTAACAAGCTGCAAGTTTCTCATTTGACAGTCTTTTATGATATGGAAAATTTAGGTTAAGTTGTAATGAGCCTTAGAAATAGAGACTACAGGTCAATGTGAGCAAGTAAAGCACATACAACTGACAATTTACTTGGCACAGGAAACTCTGACGGGCTTCAAATGGATGGGCAATCTTGCTTGTGATCTTATGGCCCGAGGAAATACTGTCCTCTTTACGTTTGAAGAAGCAATAGGTGAGAAGTATACATAAATTAGTCATAAAACAAATAATAAAGCGTGTTTTCAAACAGTGTTTCCCTTACCTTATTACAGAACGAAAAATTCTAAATAACTGTTTAGCCAAAAACTACTTATAAAGTCAGTTGTGTTCTGGTATTATTTCTTTGATAGGGTTTATGTATGGTACCACTGTTTTTGACAAAGATGGCATCAGCGCTGCAGTGGTAATGGCAGAAATGGCTTCATACCTCAACCTTCAAGGACTTACTTTAACAGAGCAGCTAAACAATTTGTACGAGAGGTTTGTGAGTGTTTTCTGACTAATATTGATGTAATCTTGAGAGATGTTTTGCACTTAATTGCAATAATCTATGGACTCTTATATCGCGAGTCCGAGTACACTAGTTTACGATTGCACCGTGGTGATATTGAGTCTTCTCGTGGGAGAGAAGGTCGCTTAATGATTAACGAGTACGATTGGAAAACCTGTAGGTATGTTAGGAGTTGTTGGTGTTGCATTTTGAGTTCACTTAGCTTTCAGCCCTTAAGTGTCGTATACCTTTGTATATCTCGCCTAAGGGAGATACACAAGTCTGAGTCCTTTGTAGAACAACCTGGTACTGTGCCTGTTAGTAGCCTTTTGAGACTCCCTGACCTTTCTATTCTACCACGAGTCCTTCAGCTTGGTTAGTCTTTTCTGAACGTTTGTTTCAAACTGAGCTATAACGAATTCTTTGCATCATATGCTTTGTTCTCCAAGTAGATTCTATGGGCACTGTGCATCTTTACTTATAACTACAAGATCTTTTTGTATTTTTGTCATAATTACACGATACAAGATACGGTGTACATCGTTTACTTTCGAGTAGCTTTTCGACCGCGAAGGTAAATAACCAACCAGGCGCGGCTACCTCCCTTCCCCTCCCCGCCCCTTTTTTACCGCCTAACACATTAACAATTCGTTCTCTTCTTTCAAGAGCATGCAAAGATCACTTGAATTGAAAGGGATACTTAACTCTCCAACAGTTTACATTTATTAAAACGAAAGACAATTTATCGAATTTGAAATATTCATTTTTCCAGCACAGTTAGTTTTGAATTTTACTACAGTGTAAATGACTTACCATACTAACAAGATTGATTGATGGATCTGACGTGACTGTATTGATTTCTTATCTCTGGTTTATGTTGTAGATATGGTGTCCACGTGACCAACAATTCTTACTACCTTTGTTATTCTCCATCAACAATAAAGACCATTTTTGATCGCATAAGGACTCTCGAGAATGGTTGGGTGAGTTGTAGGTGTATGGTAACACAGTGTTTTCTGTGCCGTGTTATCATCCTTTAGAACTGTCAAATCAGGAGTAGTTATGCTATGAGAAGGGGCAATCAGAGTCATTTCATGCGGAGAAGGTTTGGAAGAATTCGATGGTGTCATTTCCGAGATTATTTGCGTGCCTACGAATTATAAGTGATAAATCAATTACAAGCTTAGCAGCATCCTAAGGTTTGATACATGAGATCTTTAAATTTGCTGAAATTCACTCAGCAGCGTGGCCTTGCTCGACAAGACAAAATCCCGAAGTTATGATAAAATTTATGGGGGATTTGCCAGAAACTGTTTAACGGGACTTTCCTGTAACATTAATCTACCCTCTATTCAAACTTCAATCCTTTATTCAACACGTTTGAAAGTCACATTAGTTTGACTCCAAAGAGAGAATGCTGAGTTTTAGCTTGCTGAATAGTTTCGTCGGAGCCTAGGAAAACTATAACCAGCCTCCCCCCCCCTCTCCCCAAGAAGTGACGTGTACCTGTAAGAGTATTTCTGTAATTTGGGAACAATTTAATTGTTCCTTCTTTTGTTATTCATATTACGGGTTAAGCCTAAATTTTACGTATTACTACTGGATACCATTTTGCAAGCTTGAAATCTTATGCAGGTAATTAAAACACATGTCGTATGTTGTACGATTGTTTTCAGTACCCCAGTACTTGCGGTCCCTATAAACTATCTGGTATCAGAGATTTAACTGCTGGATATGATAGTACCAAGCCTGGTGACAAACCGGTGAGTAACTTATGACCTTTGAAGGCCACTTTAAAGCTAGAATTCCTCGAACGATCTCAAGAGATATCTCTGCTCAAACTTAAACAGGCAAGGATACCTTCCTCACAAAGAAATCTCAAAATTGTACAACATTTATGGAAACAAAAATTAATTTCATGAAATTTTTGACCTAGCACAATCTTATGGTGCTACAAACAACGCTCTTAGCAGCCATAATGGGTCCGCCTCCAACTGTTTTCGATTGTAATGAAAATTTTTAGAGGTTGAGATTAAGCAGAGGAAACCCGCTGGCACTTTTACTAATAAACTGTACAGTCGTATATGAGCACGATCCTTCGCAGTAAAGCACTATTTAAGCAATAGTGAAAATCAGACCTGAAAAAAATCAGGCCTGTACAGGCCTGATTTTGTAAATACTGCTTATTGTGTAAATAGTGCTATCTACTGCAAGGATCGGGCATCATACGAAAATCTTCTTACTGGTAATTTAAAAGATGAAAATTGCTGGATGTTGATACAACTTTTGAATGCAATTAAGTTACACAATCACACCATATCCATCTTTTTTCTTGAAAGAAGAAATCTTAAACAAAGCAAATGATTCAGCAGTGCATCTCTTCACTGTAGTGGTATAAACAGGTATTCAAGTTGGTAAACTGTCAGTGAAGCCAGATGAAATGCACTTGGGAGGATGTAAAGTCTCTTGAATACTACAAAAACTGGGATGAGCTCTGGCTCAATGGGCCACTTGGCTTAAACACGAAGGCGCGCTATATAAGGAAGTCTTCCCTGGGAAGACCGAGGCTCATTTGTCACTCACCGTTGACGTGTGCGGGTCAAATTTAAATGCTGGTAGACGAACAAAAGGAGCTAATGAGATATCTATTGTTTACTTCCACCAGCATGGTGGCATGAGGTAACGTGCGAACCACCTACTTCGATCTCAAATTTACCGCCACAAATAAAGACAGTTTCCATTGGAGAAAGGAAATACAAATCTCAAAAATTCTTGTATTGTGATGAAGACATAAAACAATTTTGAGGAATGCGCCCGCTGTTCACTGCTTTGGAGTAGCTGTAGCTCAAGCTGACTTGACTCTAAGAGTTCTACATCACACGACGGTTGATTGACAAATGGTCCAGTGGGACCTAAGGCTCCTTTTATAGCGCGCCTTCGTGTTTAANGATACTAGTGCAGCGCTCTACCAATTGAGCTAACAAGCCAACTGGGAGCAGGCCATCAAATTAATTCGACATAAACCCGTAGATGATAAATCAAACAACAACAAACATATGAAACATATGTGTGAACTGCGGTTATGAGACGTATATGAGCACGATCCTTCGCAGTAAAGCACTATTTGAGCAATAGTGAAAATCAGACCTGAAAAAAATTTCAGGCCTGTACGGGATTCGAACCACTGACCTCTGCGATACTAGTGCAGCGCTCTACCAATTGAGCTAACAAGCCAACTGGGAGCAGGCCATCAAATTAATTCGACATAAACCCGTAGATGATAAATCAAACAACAACAAACATATGAAACATATGTGTGAACTGCGGTTATGAGACGTATATGAGCACGATCCTTCGCAGTAAAGCACTATTTGAGCAATAGTGAAAATCAGACCTGAAAAAAATTTCAGGCCTGTACGGGATTCGAACCACTGACCTCTGCGATACTAGTGCAGCGCTCTACCAATTGAGCTAACAAGCCAACTGGGAGCAGGCCATCAAATTAATTCGACATAAACCCGTAGATGATAAATCAAACAACAACAAACATATGAAACATATGTGTGAACTGCGGTTATGAGACGTATATGAGCACGATCCTTCGCAGTAAAGCACTATTTGAGCAATAGTGAAAATCAGACCTGAAAAAAATTTCAGGCCTGTACGGGATTCGAACCACTGACCTCTGCGATACTAGTGCAGCGCTCTACCAATTGAGCTAACAAGCCAACTGGGAGCAGGCCATCAAATTAATTCGACATAAACCCGTAGATGATAAATCAAACAACAACAAACATATGAAACATATGTGTGAACTGCGGTTATGAGACGTATATGAGCACGATCCTTCGCAGTAAAGCACTATTTGAGCAATAGTGAAAATCAGACCTGAAAAAAATTTCAGGCCTGTACGGGATTCGAACCACTGACCTCTGCGATACTAGTGCAGCGCTCTACCAATTGAGCTAACAAGCCAACTGGGAGCAGGCCATCAAATTAATTCGACATAAACCCGTAGATGATAAATCAAACAACAACAAACATATGAAACATATGTGTGAACTGCGGTTATGAGACGTATATGAGCACGATCCTTCGCAGTAAAGCACTATTTGAGCAATAGTGAAAATCAGACCTGAAAAAAATTTCAGGCCTGTACGGGATTCGAACCACTGACCTCTGCGATACTAGTGCAGCGCTCTACCAATTGAGCTAACAAGCCAACTGGGAGCAGGCCATCAAATTAATTCGACATAAACCCGTAGATGATAAATCAAACAACAACAAACATATGAAACATATGTGTGAACTGCGGTTATGAGACGTATATGAGCACGATCCTTCGCAGTAAAGCACTATTTGAGCAATAGTGAAAATCAGACCTGAAAAAAATTTCAGGCCTGTACGGGATTCGAACCACTGACCTCTGCGATACTAGTGCAGCGCTCTACCAATTGAGCTAACAAGCCAACTAAGAGCAGGCCATCAAATTAATTCGACATAAACCCGTAGATGATCAGTGGTTCGTAGAGGTCAGTGGTTCGAATCCCGTACAGGCCTGAAATTTTTCAAATGAAACCCATAGATGATTCAGTGGTCCGTAGAGGTCAGTGGTTCGAATCCCGTACAGGCCTGAAATTTTTTTCAGGTCTGATTTTCACTATTGCTCAAATAGTGCTTTACTGCGAAGGATCGTGCTCATATACGTCTCATAACCGCAGTTCACACATATGTTTCATATGTTTGTTGTTGTTTGATTTATCATCTACGGGTTTATGTCGAATTAATTTGATGGCCTGCTCCCAGTTGGCTTGTTAGCTCAATTGGTAGAGCGCTGCACTAGTATCGCAGAGGTCAGTGGTTCGAATCCCGTACAGGCCTGAAATTTTTTTCAGGTCTGATTTTCACTATTGCTCAAATAGTGCTTTACTGCGAAGGATCGTGCTCATATACGTCTCATAACCACAGTTCACACATATGTTTCATATGTTTGTTGTTGTTTGAACTGTACAGTGATAACATGCACAATTTTTCGATCTTATACTCAACCTCTATATCTGACGAAGGAACTTCAACTCATGAACAATACGTGCAAAGTTTTATATTGGTAGTCGTTTGTTTTATCGCCTCCTCGTTACCGTCTTGTTCTGCTTAAGGTGCCCATTTACAGATCGTCGGTTTTGATTGTTTCCACTTTCGGCATGGGCAGTTGAAATCTCGTTTGTTTAGCGGCCTTTCGCTCTCTAAAAAGTTACGTTAAAGAGTTTCGGTTTACAAAACAAATATCGGTGGATGAAATAATAATTCTCGAACTCCTAGAGGTAGAAAGGGCTCGCCCGTTACTTCTCGGGAAAAAATATGATTAAGATTGTTATCAACATTTTGTATGTTGTTTATATATTATTTTGTTGGTTATATTCATCAGGTTCTTCCAGTTAGCAAGTCAAGTCAGATGATCACATTCTATTTCGAGAATGGATGCGTTGCCACTCTTCGAACAAGTGGTACTGAACCAAAGATTAAATATTACACAGAGCTTGCATGCAAGCCGGGAGATAAGTATGTGGTTATTTTCCAGCATGTCTCATACTCGTGATGAATTGTTATGATCTTTCTTATTTAGATGATGATACGTATTTTTTTTAATTCCCTCGTGACTACTTTCATCGTCTTGCGATTGAAAAGTTATTTCGCGCCCTGTAGTCGGTAAATCACATTATTTATACTTTAGTGGTATTCATGACTGAGCTCGCCATCGAGCTTTTTGTAGCATAATTAACCTGACCTCTATGATTTGGTTTTCCTTGAGTTACATGAAGAAATTTGCCATAGCAGTGGATAAGGTGTAGGTAACTTCATATCCTGGTTTTCTGTATGTTTAACTTGTACTTACTTCTTCCCTTTTAGTGTGGACATTCCAACAGCCAATGAAACTCTTCGAAACATCGTTAATACAATCGTTCAAGAATGGTTACGGCCTGATGTAAACAACCTTATTCCCAAGGAAGACTGAAAACTACTCCTTACTCTGTTATAACACTGAAAAAGATATGAATCCAATACTATGTTCAGAGNACCTGAAAAAAATCAGGCCTGTACGGGATTCGAACCACTGACCTCTGCGATACTAGTGCAGCGCTCTACCAATTGAGCTAACAAGCCAACTGGGAGCAGGCTGTTAAGTTGATTCGTAATAAATCCGTGATGATAAATCAGATATGATGAATATATGAAGTTCATCATATCCAAAGGAAGAGCTGTTGTGAAAGGCAAACACGTAAACAAAGGGGTCGGCTATGGTTTAGAAATTCCATGCGGGTACTCCTTCACAGTGGACGAGTTTCAATTCAATGGTTAATATCAAAACTTGAGGAGCATGGACTTTTGTAGATTTCCAGTACAGTAGTAATAAAGTATTCCCGTTCAGATTTTGGTTGTAACAAAACTGGTTCAGCTCTATCTATTTTTTGCAGTATGCCATTCCATATTGCAATTAGTCCATAATTGTTTAGACCGTTATTCCCAGTACGCACCACTCTTTTAGTCATATGTAATTAGCTATAGATTGCGCTAAAAATTATTATTCATAGCGAGTGTGAATGTTTTGTATTTAAAAAAAGCGGTTAGTACGTGAAATACAATTTAATTCTCATCTCTAAGAAAGGTTGTCTTGTGAGTATATTTCTTCATGCCGGAGACGAAAACCACATGAGGAAACATGGTGTCAGGAGTAAAAGTCTAGTCTACGTTCTGGAAGCCGAACAAGTTCATCGATAATCGACGATCGCAGAGTTCGAGCGAATATTTTGTGTTCACAAACCTCAACTTCACCATGGAAGTTCTCGCGAAAGGACCAATCTGAGATTGGACCAACGACGGAAAACTTCACGAACGTTTCCTAGAATGGAAAAAGAAGGTATCGATTTTATGCAGAGGTCTTGTAATGACCAAGGCAGACCCGGAGTTTGTTTGTCTATGCATCTATCAGTGGTCGGGTGAACGCGGACAAAATATTTTGGACAAGGCACCAATTCCAGCCGATGATCGCAAGAAATGGGAGATACATCTCGGAAAGGTGGAGGAGCAATGCAAACCCAGAGGGAGCAAACTAGTCGCGGCTACACAGTACAAAGTGCTCACTCAAGGTGATATGGAATTACCAGAGTGCATCGAAAAGTGCAGGGAAGTCACTGATGCATGCGGATGACCAGAAGACGCAAAGGACATGGCTCTCAGGAAAGCTATTCTCCTTGGTCTAAAGAATCCAAAAGTTTATCAAAAGTGTTTGGAAGAAGACCAGGACTCCCTTACCGCCGAACGAGTGATCGAAATTGCAACTCTCCTATACAACAGCGATTGTCAAAGATCAATTATGTAGACTCTCAGTACAGCAACCGCAGCAACAGCTACAATACAACAAGGATCAACACAGATTCACAAAATGCAAACAAAGCATCAAAAAGGCGGGAAATCAACGGAGTGGTCAAATCGAGACAAGGCGTCTAAAGAGAAAGAGCATGGTGAGACAAAGACGCAAAGTTGTTTTTGTTGTGGAGCAAAGCCTGCTCACCCCAGATCGCACTGTCCAGCCAAGGATGTTACTTGACACAAGTGTGGAAAGAAAGGACACTACAAAAAGTGCTGCAAGAGCAAAACAGCTAAACAAGGTACAACTGGTGAACCTAGGCAGGTTCAAGTACATGGTTTACAAGCACCGCAGACAGAAGCCAGTGTCAATCAGATCTCAGTTCGTGATCCTCCACAGGACAACTGCATAATGCTCGGTCCGCAAGTACCACAGGACAACCAACACAATGTTTCACCATATCCAGACTTTTCATGTGAAGAGTATTAATGATACTTCAAGCAAGCACATCAAGCCTCTTTGGTTAAGTACTGGAGGTGGAGGACCCATATATGAGGTTGAATGCGAGATCGATACAGGCGCAGGATGCAATGTAATGCCCTTGTACCTACACAAATCCTTATTTGGAGACAAGAGTCTTACCCCTACCTCTGTACAAATATTCGGGTACGAAGCGTGCACCATAGCGATAATAATAATAATAATTTACATTTCTAAAGCGCTAAAATTATAAAATATTCTAAAGCGCTTTACAACATTATTAACTACAAATATTAAAATGATAAACGACAAAATATCAAAACAAACTGTAAGCCAGCTTGAATAGATATGTCTTAAGCTTTGACTTAAAAATCGTTACACTTGGACTGTTTCGAATTTCAAGCGGCAGTTCGTTCCACAAAAAAGGTCCAGAACGGGCAAAGGCACGATCACCAAAGGTCTTAAAGTTAGTTCTTGGGACCTTAAGGAGACCCTGATCGCAGGAACGTAGCTGATGACCCTTGACACTGTGTGGCTGCAGATATTCTTTTATGTATAGTGGGCCTTGGTTATTTAAAGCTTTATAAATTAAAAGTAACAACTTAAAATGGACGCGATAAGCCACAGGAAGCCAGTGAAGATTATATAAGGCGGACGAGATGTGGTGAAACTTGGGAATCCTAAAAATTAGTCGAGCAGCGGCGTTNAAAGGGAGTTGCAATAGTCTAAATGCGAAGTCACAAATGCGTGAACAAGAGTCTTCGTGGACTCAGGACTGAGGAATTTCCTAATTTGGCGAATTTTATACAATCCATGAAAAGCTTTGCTGCAGATCTTACCAATGTGAATGGACATGGACATATTGGAGTCAAACCAGGAACCCAGGTTTCGAACACTGTTGAGAGGCTGAATGGTAGAATTACCGACTGTGATGGAATCAATTGCGATTTTTGATAATTGATGGCGGGAACCAACAACTAAGAATTCGGTTTTAGAATCGTTAATTAACAGGCGATTATAAATCAACCATGAGCGGACATCCGAAATGCAGGCTTCAAGAGCAGCTATGGCGTGATCTTGCGAAGATATGTCATTGGGTCTAAACGACAGATAAAGTTGTGTATCATCGGCATATCCGTGAGCAGAGGGGAGATGGTTAGCGATCACGTGATATAGTCGAGATATGTATAATATGAATAAAATAGGACCCATACAGCTGCCTTGTGGGACACCGCAGTTCAAATGAAAATCATCTGATGTTCGATCGTTTATGAGAACACGTTGTTTTCGGCCAGACAGATAAGACGCAAACCATTTATGGGCAGAGCCAATGATTCCAAAATCGCTTTCAAGAACATTAAGGAGAATCTGATGATCGATTGTATCAAAAGCAGCGCTTAGATCCAGTAGCACAAGAAGCGTAATTTCCTGATGGTCCATTGACATAAGAATATCACTTTGAACCTTAAGCAAGGCAGTTTCGGTAGAGTGAAATCTTCTAAACCCTGATTGTAACTTCGGCAGAGGAGCATTGTATTCACAGTGCTTAAACAATTGAGAAAGAACCGCCTTTTCGACGATCTTGGAGATGAATGTTAGATTGCTTACCGGACGGAAGTTTTTATAAGTTAACTCTAGACCGGGTTTCTTTAATAGAGGTTTCACAATTGCAGTTTTCCAATCATCGGGAACATAGGCGTGGCGAATAGACAAATTTACCATGCGAGTAATGGAGGGCGCAAGGACGTCAAGACAAGACTTCACAAGCCATGTAGGGATTGGATCCAGGGAGCATGAGGCATTAGACGATGTACTGATTATATTGCAAACATCTTCCACTGATAACGGCGAAAAACTGTCAAGTTCTACAGCTGGAGCAGCAGTATCAGAATAAGGAGGATTAACTTCAATATCACTGATGGAATCTTTGATGAGTTCAATTTTTTTAACAAAGAATTCCCCAAATTTATTCGCAAGTAGAACTGGGTCATCATGAGGTGGTAGATCATTAACATTAGGACCCTTACAAAGGAATGAAACCAATTTGAACAACTTCCCGGAGTCACCAGCGCACTGACCAATTAAATCTGAGTAATAAGAAGCTCGAGTAGACTTGAGAAGAGCAGAATATCTATTACAGATTTTACGATAAGCAAGCCAATCTGAAGAAAGACCACTTTTAAGAGCTTTCCGCTCAGCCTTGCGACGAATACGTTTAAACTGGAGAACATCAGCGTTAAACCAAGGGATCTTTGCACGAGTAACAAGAGTTTTTGTCTTTATGGGAGCATGTTTATCCAGGATTTCTGTTAAAGTCGAGGAGTACTGCTTGGATAAATCGCCAAGGTTGCTCCAGTGTGTGTCACTGCAAAGTACAGACGAGGTGATGTCCGATTTAAATGCATCAATGTCGATGTTCTTTAACCTGCGATATGACACAGACTTGGTAGAGATTGATGAACTTGGGAAGCGAATAAAACACTCAACAAAAAAATGATCCGAGATGGGTAAGGTGACGTTAATGGGACCCAAAATTAAGTCACTGGTGGATCGAGTGATGATAAGGTCCAAAATATGCCCAGAAATATGCGTGGACATCGTTACGTGTTGTGAGAGGCTGAAGGTTTCCAGCAACTCTTTAAATCTTATAGCACAATTGCTATGCACCAAATCCATGTGAAAGTTGAAATCCCCAGCGATAATAAGAGGTTCAGGACACATGACAATGTTTTCAAGATACGACGAAAACTCATCAAGAAATACCGACGCAGAAGAGTTGGGAGGGCGGTAAACAGCAACAATACGGATAGAGCGATTTGTTGTCTTCAAAATCCATTCGGAAAATTCAAAAGAATTATGTTCCTTCCCGTCCAGAAGTGTGGCATCAAAAGAGTCGCGGAATAAAATGCCTGTACCACCGCCAGATCGATTTGATTGCCGTGGAAAACTCTTGAATAAATAGCCATGACGAGAAAGATCAGCAATGCAGACAGAATCTAAATCGTTTAACCAAGTTTCAGTAAAAATACAGATACCGATATCATTGCCAACAGCATGGTCAATGATTGTTTCCACTTTGTTCCTGATAGAGCGAGCATTACAGATTGCAAAGCGAAGATTATTTGAAGAAAGACTCGATGACAGCAATGATCTCAGAGGCTTCAAAACGGACGGATTGACACCATTAGAGGTGACAAGTTGAATATTTAATGATCTACAATCCCGGCGTGAAGAAGAAATCGGAAGAATATTATGAACAGCATGTTTCCTAGCTTTATCAGCCTTTCCAGCGCGACATCCTCGGTACTTAAAAATACCAAGGGCTTGAAGTAGACATAATGAAGATTGATACAAATAGCTTGGACCGGAAGAGCGCAAGCGAAGAAGATCAGTTCTGGAGTAAAACTTTGTAGCAATTTGGGCTTGACTTGATGGCTTATCGGCAAGCGAAATAGCAGAAGGAGGCGGGTTAGCGCGACCAGTAGAATGATGAGTAAGTGGGCCAGGATTCCTTTCAACGTCCTGACAAATAGTAAGGTCAAGGGACGGCAATAAGAAGCAAACGTAACCGTGTTTGTGCCAGGAAGAAATTGGTCGTCGACGAAGCCCAAATGAACTTAGTCTTCGAAAGTGAAAGGAAGGTCGATCCAATCCAGCTGCTTGAAATGAAACAGGAGCTGTGTTCAAAGTGCGACCATCGTGTAACCAAACTGATAAAAAAATTGACTGAAATCCGAGTAAAATTAAAAATTTTCGCAGAACATCAAACGTGGCAGCCATACTTCGGCGCGCATACATTACGTTTGCGATTCATACTGGCGGTAGACAACGGCCGCAGATGGCGACTTGTCAAGTGACCGATACTCGAGGTTATCTCATCCTAGGCAGAGAAAACCCAGCAAGTCGGCTACATTGCCTTTCCAGAGGTAACCCCGCCCTCCTTAACCAGTACGCTGCAAATCCATACAAGTGTTAACGCTCTGCGACCAGATTCCAGTAAGGTTAACAAGCCTACATGTGAGGTGCTGGATGACGCAGTCATCTTAAATGGAAAGAGTCACTGTTTGCCCTTAACAAAGGAGTAAGTATTATCCGAATTCAGAGATATATTCAAGGGTATAGGAAAACTACCAGGAGGCAACTATCACATCCAACTCAAGCCAGACGCACAACCTGTACAACATCCACCACGAGCAGTACCTGAGAAGAAGAAAGCAGCATACAAAGAAGAGCTTGAGAGATTGTGCAGTTCGGAAATCATTGAAGCAGTTCAGGGACACACAGACTGGACCAATAGCGTCGTCCCTGTCTCTGAGCCTGATGGATCAGTTCGACTATGCCTAGATCCAAGGGAACTTAACCAGAGCATCAAAAAGAACCAGTACTACACGAAGACTATCGATGAAGTTAGTGCTGAACTCCACGGAGGAAAATATTTTACGCTAGTTGATGCCAAGTCGGGCTATTGGATGGTAGAATTGGACAATGAAAGTTCACTTCTAACTACCTTCAACACTCCATAGGGAAAATACAAGTGGCTCCGCCTTCCCTTTGGTCTTAAAGTCAGCGCAGACGTATTTCAGGGGAGGCTGAATGCAGTCCTTAAGGAAGTGAAAGGAATCACGGGATGCATTGACGATATCCTCACGAGAGGGGTGGATTCTAAGGATCATGATGTAAATCTACTCCAGTTACTCGAAACAGCACGAATAAACGGAATTAAGTTCAATCCAAAGAAGTTACAGTTCAAAACAACTAAGTGCGATTTCTTCGGACGGATTATCACGCCAGAGGGTATGAAGAGCGACGACAAAAAGGTTGAGGCCATCAAACAGATGAAAGCGCCAAAAGACAAGAAAGCTCTCCAGAGTTTCCAGGGAATGATCAACTACTTGAAGCGCTACTCAGCAAGTTGACGAGACTATTCGAACCGCTCAGACCGCTGCTTCGGGAAGAAATGGAATGGACCTGGGACTCTTCCCATCAAGATGCCTTCAATACCATCAAAGAAGAGCTCTCCAGGACCCCAGTACTTGCGTACCGGAAAGCAGAGTACGTTATTTAGACTGACGCTTCAATGAAAGGGTTGGGTACCGTATTGTTGCAGGGAGGAAAACCAGTGATCTACGTATCCAGAACTCTCACTCCTGCCGAGGAACGCTATTTCAACATTGAAAGGGAATTCCTAGGAATGGTGTTCGCCGTGGAGAGCCTTCACAACTATGTGTATGGTGAGCCAGTCAGAGTTCAAACAGATCACAAACCTTTAGAAATGATTTGGAATAAGAGTATTGCCACAGCCAGCCCGAGACTTAAACGACTTCTTCTGAGGCTTGCAAGATACGAAATTCAAATCGAGTACATCTGCGGGAAGGACAACTCAATCGCAGACGCCCTTAGTCGAGTCGACCCTCTCAGTCCAAGGCCTATGGACTCAGAGCAGATGGATGTGATTCCAGTGCACCACATCACTTCAAATGTTCCAGCTACAGACAACCGACTTGACAGAACCAGAACGTCTTTCACGGCTGGCCGCTTCAGAGGCAGCAACTCCCAGAACGACTGCAACATTATTGGAATTACCGTGAAGAACTTGCAGTTGAAGATGGCCTGATATTCAAAGCACATCGACTTGTGATTCCAACTCCACTGAGAGCAGAATATCTAAAGCGTCTTCATGCGGGCCACCTAGGAGAAGATAAAACTCTGTTAAGGGCACGAGAGACAGTCTTTTGGCCCGGGATCTCGAATGATGTGAGAAATACAGTTAAATTATGTGACGTATGCACGTAATACAAGCCTGCTCAACAGAAGGAACCACTAGTACCGCATGATGTGCCCAGCTTGCCATGGTTTAAACTTGGAGTCGACATATTTGAGTATCGTTCCCACCACTACCTACTGGTTGCCGACTACTTTAGCAAGTTCCCCCGTTGTAAAGAAACTCACCAATCAGACGGCGGGACAAGTGATAAGTCTTCTGAAGACAATATTTGAAGAATATGGGATACCAGCAACAGTGTACACAGACCAAAGAACCCAGTTTGTGTCCCAAGAATTCAAACAATTTGCTATGCAGTACAGATTCGAAGTGCAACACTCTAGCCCAAGGTATCCTCAATCGAACGGTTTCATTGAGGCTGTGGTCAAAGTCGTAAAGGGCATAATGGAGAAGGCAGAAGAGTTGGGTTCGGATCCACATCTTGCAATGCTGATTTATCGTGCGACTCCAGTCAGACTAGGTCAGCTCAGCCCAGGAGAG